GTAAATGCAATTTACCATGCAATCAATGGTTTATTGGTTTGATAAAGTGCGTAAGGATATTTGCTTCAGAATTTTCATGTAACAAAACAAGCCAATAACAAATTCTGACTTCAGACAGGTTACAGTGTATATTGTTGTATTTACTCTTAAAAATCCAGTGTTGTGCAAACTAATGCTTGACTTTAATAAAATAAAAACAAAAAGTAAAAAATTTAGAAATCTATCTCTAATCCCTTGTGACTAGCAAACAAAGAGATCATTGCCCTAACTTCAGAGATTTTTCGGCATTTGCTTCAAAGTTTCAGCTAATCTAGAACAGTCATATAGATTGATCTTTCATATTTTAATTTCTACCAGAGTGTTGCCAAATTGATGAAAACATATACCAGTAGTATTAGACCTTGTTTTTATGACTCAAAGTATAAAGAAGTTTTGGAAAATTTGTTATGTGTTTCAGGTTCTTTGTCTTCCTTCGTCTTGTAGTTTACTCTTATACGAAGTGTCCTCAACAAACTGTAGCGTAATAAGTTGTTGTCAGTGTTGTTTGTTGTAGCCTTTTGTTTTGTTTACAGGTTGCAAAAGCCACATCCTTTACGCAGCCCAGTGACTAAACAACCCTCGTTGGCAAGAGCATTAACCATTTCCTCTATCTCAGAGAATGTGAACAAGCCGCTAGTATCAAAAGATTGCAGGAATTTTTCCAAGGCTCCTCTTAAGTTGAAGTTTCCTTTGTCTTCTAGGGGTAATTACTATAAATTACTTTTAATAACTTGTAACAAACTACATGCTGTGTGTCTTCTTTCTCTCCTTGTAAGAATCAGAGCATTCCTTGTTTAGCAAATTTAAAAACTAGTGACAGAGATAATCTCAGATAGTGCAGAGTGCAATACATTAGCTACTGTCACTTGTTAGTCACACAGGTCGGGAGAATTCAGCTTAGCCTTTTCCCCTTGCAGAATATGAATGGACAGATAAGTCTTGTTTAAGGCATAATCTTAGCAGTATGTAATTGTGCCTTGAGCGTATTTTCTTTCAAGTCTAAATGTAACACAATAATTGCAGCCAGGACAGTTTTCAATTTTACTGTGGTGTTGTTCATTTTAACTTCTATCAGAAGTTTAAGCAGAAAACTAAAAATTTTACTAGTCATATCAACGTCTGTAACTTGATACTTTTGGTTGCCTCGCAAAGGTACATGTATGTAATGTGACTCTCTTGTTTTCTTGAAAACACACAGAAGATGTACTTGTATGCTCCCAACTGAATCTATGACTTAATTCGATCAGTCCTTGAGGCAACCTGTTTATTGCCAACTTGTACTTTTAATGAAAATACGCATGTGAACCATGTACACTGCTAAGATAATGTCTTAATCAAAGTTTCTATCTGTGGATATTCTGCAAGTGGAAAAGGAAGTCAATACAAACAACCAAGGAGTTACAGGGGGTTGGGACCTGTGTGATTACCATGTATCAGTGCTGCACATTGTAGTCTGCAGTATCTGAGATTGTCTCACTAGATTTATGTGCACAAATGAGCCAAGGTTTGAGTAGGTGGTTCAATTTACAATACATTAAAACATTGCATACTGTTAAGTATCTCTTAACTCTTCGAGTGTAACTTTCAAGGACAGTTCAATTTCATATTGTACTGAATGTTTAAGGTCACTCAATCATTGTTGACTATTCTCTGAACACTGCTGAGGACAGACATGCTTTCTGTTCCTTAGCGGCAGCTTGGAATCTTGAAGAGGATGACGAGAGTGGAGTAGCAAGTGGTAGCACTGATGGAGTTCCTTTTGGATACACAACAGGAGGGTTATATTATTCAACTGATGTACGTCTTCAATCATTGCATACATTAGAGGTAAAAATTACATTATGAACGTACTTGCATTCGACATGTAGCCTTTCATTAATTAGTACTAGGAATGCCATAATATATAGCACAAATTACTGTCTAAATGTGTGTGTATATAAGAAACAAGAAATTTTATCTAAGATGTCCCAGTTATTGCACATAAAAAACCAAGCCAAGACATAACATTATTGATGTGAAGTATATATGAAATAATTCATATTTGAACTGCGGTTGTAGATGAAAGTGAATAATGATCATCGCAGTAAGTTTTCCAATTTAAGCAATTGGAAAGAAGAAGCCTGAAAAAATCAGGGCTTAACGGGATTCGAACCCGTGACCACTGCGATACCAGTGCGATGCTCTACCAACTGAGCTATGAAGCCACACATTGGGAGCACCGCACCGATATCGCGAAGGTCACGGGTTCGAATCCCGTTGAAGCCCTGATTTTTTCAGGTTTCTTCTTTCTAATTGCTTAAATTGGAAAATTTACTGCGATGATCATTCTTCACTTTCATCTACAACCGCAGTTCAAATATGAATTATTTCATATATACTTCACATCATTTCACTCCTCATAAGAAGACATGAGCTCAATCAATTGACCTCGCTCCCAATGTGTGGCTTCATAGCTCAATTGGTAGAGCATCGCACCGTATCGCAAAGGTCACGGGTTTGTATCCCATTGAAGCCCTGATTTTTTCAGGCTTCTTCTTTCCAATTGCTTAAATTGGAAAATTTACTGCAATGATCATTCTTCACTTTCACATAACATTATTAGGAGGAATCTGGCCCTGCCTCAGCTGGCTCTGCATCAAACAAACTGCAGGTGTTGGTGACCCACAGGCCAGGGAGGAGGGCATGAGAAGAGTTCCAAAAACCACAAAACCCTATAGAAAAACGTAAAAACACTCCAGCAATGTTCCATCAAAATGATTTATTAGCTCAAGCAACCGAAACCATTATACATGTACTGTAGTTACAAAATGTCCTAGATGCTGTCATTAATACTTCAGGTTTGCCATTCTATTAGAAATACAGTTGAACCTAGATTTAATGAACCTCTGTTTAACAAAGTCCTCGATATAACAAACGATATTCTATGTCCTGGCCAAAGTTACAGTAAAATGTATGGAATAGAACCTCGATATAACGAACCTTGATATAACGAATTCTTCGATATCACGAACATATTCCGGAAGCCCAAACGTAAAATCTACCTCGATATATGGCATAACCTCTATGTTGCAACATTTTTAAATCGCTACTCTGAAAGTGTCGTTCTTTTGCAAACAAAAGCTGCGCGTCTGCTTAAAAGTTAAAATAACTGATATTGAAAGCCACCATGCTTAATGAATTGCATCTCAGAACGCGGCACTTCTGAGTGATGAAAACTGCATTGAATTGTGTGAGAGAAGTCACCTGTGTTACGATTCAATCATTAACTATGACCTCGATATAATGAACATTTTGGCCATTTCCCCTCAAATTCGTCATATTGAGGTTTTCGATATAACAAACCCTCGATTTAACGAACAAATTTGGCCGGTCCCCAGCAACTTCGTTAAATCGAGGTTCCACTGTACCACCTTATTTATTTAGCCAATGAAAAAAACTTGATGTTTACAACTTCAACAAGGGAAACCACTCAAATGTGGTACAAAGGTCACACTTTTGACAATTTTTTTGTGAAAAGTCATCAAGATGCTAGTTTTCAAGCTAAAATATCCTGAACACAAGCTCGGAACACCCATTTTTTGGTCGCAATTCAACTTAAATATTGGGAAAGCTACAAACCTCTTATTCTTATAAAACCGCAATGCTGCAGGTTACAATAAATATTTCCAGAAAACCACGCCAAAAATAACACATAACCGCATCATCGCAAACCCTTATGCCCCCCTCCACAGGAGTGCTTTGTATCAGAGTGAAGTCCTTTTTCATAAGTAGGTCAAAACTTGTTATTCCTACCAGGGTAATGAAGAGGAAGTTGTCACTCCAACAGACCAGGAGAAGAAGCAAAGGTGGGGTTTGACTCAAAATTTATCAGTAAATGTACGTCACTCCAAACGATATGCACGACTCCCTCACCAGAGGTGAAGTGGCCCAATGGATCTTCATTGGACTCTTTATCAAACAGTCCAGTTTTGAACCCTGACCAACTCATAGTATCGTGTTCTAGTGAGAGACACTCGCCTATAGCTCTCCACCCGAGCTTATAAATGGGTAACAGCAAGTTACATGTCCATACTGGACTAGCATCCCATTGAGAGAGAAGTAGTAAGTTCCTGCCTCTCAGAAACCAAAGATAAGTGTAAGCCTGATGGGTCTCTAGACTTGACTGCAGGCTTAACCTTTTAACCCAAGCTAGTTTGTACCATACAGTGACACTGTACTGGGTTGGTTTGTTTTGCAGTGGCTTAAAGCATACTAGAATAAGCAAACTGGCACGGCGACTTAGCCAGAGAAGGGAGAAAGGAAGCGTAAGGTGAGGCAGGATTTAAGGAAGATGACAGTTTAGCTGGGGGAAAGAAGCGTCCTAGTCTTGAAAATCATTATTATTTTATAAGAATTAAAAATAACACACCATAAGCTCTACCTTCCACTTATAAGTTAACATTGTTTGTCATAGTCTTCCCATACAGTATACACATGCAACAGCTGAAGAAACACTTACTTTTTTCAAATATAACAGCATGAGTGTGTTCCTGCAAATTGTAAGGGAAATCTTAAAAAATGCTTACGTGGGCGATTAGCTTCAGCGGACTTTCATCCTGTCTGGGAAGGTGCAAGGTGTGACAAGTTTTGCCCCTCTCTCACACATAACAAGTTGCATAACTTTGATGAGTTTTTTTTTATAACAGATCAGTGGTAGGAATTCTAGCTGATGTGGGAAATTTTTTTCAGGATTTTTTTTACTTATTGATTATTCACAAAAGTATTGTCAGTTGGAAATGTTGTTTTGTGGTGTTTTGTTACCTTTAGGAACCAAGGAAGATCACACAGTTTGGAAGATCTCGCATCTCCTTTAGGATCAGCATCATCACAAGGAAGCAGCAAATCACCAAGGTTACAGCGTGCTATGTCAGTTAATCAACGCTCTTCTCCTCGCATGCGGCTTTCTGTCCAGGAAAATAGATTCAGTTTCAATAACAGAGGTGGGTTCTAATACATGTAAGGCTGTTTACTGATAGCCTGCATGGTGACTGCTGGCAAACAACTTTCCAACATCTTTTGGGGACAAATAAACCATTATAATTTTATTTTCAACTCAAGCCTAATAAATTTATTACTCTCACATTTGAGAGTCATTTGTTCCTTCTGAGTCCATCACTCATCCATTTGGCTCGACTCCTAGCTTCATTTAGTCATGTAGTCAGTAGCCCCTCATTCAAAGGACTGACACTAAGAGTGGTCTGTTATTAAAAGGAGACAGGCAGCACACATACATGATCAATCAATCAATTTATTAAAGTCATTGGGTGGGATTGAGGTTGCCCTCAGTATCCGAGCCAGAGGCTCATGTATAAAACGCATGACTAAAATAAAAGAGTTAAAATTAAATGATCAAAGCAGCTATTATTACTAATAATAAACAAGTTCTTATAAATTGTTATTTTCAGATCTCAGAGAGAAATCAAAGAAAAAAAGGGACACCACTTTAGATGGTTTGTAGTTCAATGTCTCCAGAGTTAATTTGCTCCATTTCCTCAATTTAAGCATTGAAAAATGATACACTTATCAAGGAACTCTTAGAAATGTCCAGCAAGGATTGGCACAGACTAAATCACCAGAACTTTTCCTTGTTTCTTTATTTCATTACCATTCAGCATCCATTGTGCACCTTGTGGAGGCACAGTGGCAACCCTCCAAGTTAACTTTTTTCCTTAGTGGCCATTTGGCCACTGACTGTTCAGGTTTGGTCGCCAGTGAAAAATTTTAGTCGCCAAAATATAT